TGTGATTGGATTGTGTCAGGTGTTGGGGAGGATTAGGGATTAAGGGGTTGTTTAGGGAGGGATTGGGTTGTTTAGGGGATTATTGTTTAGGGGGGGATAGGATTGGGGTGGGGAGAGAAAGGGAGAGAATAAAGAGAGAGAGTGAGAGAATAAAGAGGAGAGAGAAAGAGAGAGAGAGAGAGAGAGAGAGAGAGAGAGGAGAGAGAGAGGAGAGTGTAGGAAGTATTACCAGGCTCAGTCAGGGCGGAATTAATAGGACCTGATAAAGAGAGGGAGGAGAGAAGGAGGAAGAAGGAGCAGAGGAGGAAGACATCCATCCATCCAGCCATCCATCCATCCAGACAGCCATCCATCCATCCATCCAGCCATCCATCCATCCATCCATCCATCCATCCATCCATCCATCCATCCATCCATCCATCCAGCCATCCATCCATCCAACCATCCATCCACATCCACCCATCCATCCATCCATCCATCCATCCATCCATCCATCCATCCAACCATCCATCATCCATCCATCCATCCAGCCATCCATCCATCCATCCATCCATCCAGACGCCACACAACAATAAACAACTATACAATATTTCCGCAGAAGACACTCCATAATATTTTTTCCCCAGTATTAAATAAACACGGTTACTTCTGATCAGTTTTAATTAATTTGAGTTCATTACCGTCCAGTCGTGTGAACCTGAGTGAAATGACAGAATTCCCCCCGGGATAAATATTTGTATTCCAGGACGAACGAGTGTTGTTCGTCCTGGGAAGATAGTATTCCAGGACGAACTGAGGTATTATTGTTGTTCGTCCTAGATATATAATTGTTTCGTATTCCAGGACGAACTGAATTTATTGTTGCGTCCTGGGATAGATAAATGTATGTATGTATGTATGTATTATGGCGCAGGTGTAAGACAAAATAACACGAAAAAACACACCTCTCGACCCCTCCTTTCGCCCCCCTCTTCTTTCTCCGCACGACCGTCAATTCCTCGTCTCCATCGCGAAATTTAAATTTGGCGAGGAAGACAGACACGGCAACAAAACACACAGTAAAAAAATCGCCAATATTTTTCTCGTGTTTTGTGATGGAGCTTGGCGTCGCGATATGGTGGGGCTGAGGGAGGGAAGGAGAGGAGGGAAGAAGAGGGGGAAGGGAAGGAGAGGGGGATTCGAAAACCAAGGACCGATACCACTGAAGAGTTCGTTTTAATTCAGGTGGATGGGCGTGAGATAAAGACAGGGGGAGTGTGTGGTGGTTAACATGGGTGAGGTGGGTGGGCGTGAGAAAAGACCCCACACCCGCAAAACCATCCCAAACCATCCAAATACCACCCTTACACCACCACCCTTACACCACCACCCCATTCAACCACCTTACACAGCAGAAGATGAAGAAAGAATCATCTCAAGAGTAAACATTGAAACAGCGACGGTCCCAACACCCTGTCCCCTGTAAGACGCCGCCCCGACACCCTGTCCTGTAAACGCCGCCCCATCACCCTGTCCCTGTAAGACGCCGCCCCATCACCCTGTCCCTGCAACGCCGCCCCATCACCCCTGCAAGACGCCGCCCCATCACCCCGTCCCCTGTAAGACGCCGCCCCATCACCCTGTCCCCTGTAAGACGCCGCCCCATCACCCCTTACCCCTGTAAGACGCCGCCCCATCACCCTGTCCCAAGACGCCGCCCCATCACCCTGTCCCTAAGACGCCGCCCGACACCTGTCCTCTGCAAGACGCCCATCACCCCCTGCAAGACTTTCACCCTGTCCCCTGAAGACGCCGCCCTCACCCGTCCCCTGCAAGACGCCGCCCATCACCCTGTCTGTAGACGCCGCCCCATCACCCTGTCCCCAAGACGCGCCCATCACCGTCTCCCCAAGACGCCGCCCCATCACCCTGTCCCCGCACGCCGCCCCATCACCCTGTCCTCTGAAGACGCCGCCCCATCACCCTGTCCTGTAAGACGTCGCCCCATCACCCTGTCCCTTGTAAGACGCCGCCCCATCACCCTGTCCCAAGACCCCCACTCTGTCCCCTGCAAGACGCCGCCCCATCACCAGTCCCCCATCACTGTCCCCGCAAGCCCATCACCTCCCAAGACGCCCTCACCCTGTCCCCTGTAAGACGCCGCCCCATCACCCCTGTCCCCCAAGACGCCGCCCCATCACCTGTCCCGCCCCATCACCCCCCTGTAAGACGCCGCCCCATCACCCCCTGTAAGACGCGCCCATCACCCCATCACCCTGTCCCCTGTAAGACGCCCATCACCCTGTCCTGTAAGACGTCATCACCGTCCCAGATGCTACTCCTGTCCCCCTGCAGACGCCCCACACCCCTGTCCCCTGCAAGACGCCGCCCATCACCCTGTCCCTAAAGACGCCGCCCCATCACCCTGTCCCCTGTAAGACGCCGCCCTATCACCTTGTCCCAACGCCGTCCATCACCCCAACCTGCCCATCACCGGTCCTCTGCAAGACGCCGCCCACCCTCCCGTAAGACGCCGCCCCATCACCCTGTCCTTCCGCCCATCACCCTGAAGACGCCGTCCATCACTCCTCAATCCCTGTAAGACGCTGCCCCATCCCTGTCCTCCCCTGCAAGACGCCATCACCCTGTATCTCAGTAAGACGCCGCCCCCATCACCCTGGTTCCTTGCCCCCATCACCGTCCCCTGCAAGACGCCGCCCCATCACCATGTCCCCTGTAAGACGCCCGATCACCCCCTGTCCCCTGCAAGACGCCGCCCCATCACCCTGTCCTCAAGACGCCGCCCCTGCCATCACCGTCCTGCAAGAAGTCGCATCACCCCTGTCCCCATCCTCTGAAGACGTTGCCCATCACCTCAAAGACCCCCTGACACCAAACAGGTGTCAACAAAAAGACATTTTGGGGCTTC